TTCATATCATCTAAGATTTAATATCAAGATTACATATCAAAAAGAAATTTTCTTAGGAAATGTAACCTCAAATTAGGCATATTATAACACTTAACAAAGAAAGTTGTAACATATCTAACCATAGTCAAGCAAATATATGTAAAAAAAAGTATTTCTAATTTAAAGTAAGATTAATTGAATGATTGTTAAATTCTTTCGGAATACCCTTTGAACGAGAATCGGAATACCCTTTTAATCCTTAATTAGAGAGTGTATACAAATTACTAAATGAGAGCACTAAACCATTATAATTCTGATATATATAGGAAATGAGTTTATTTTGTAACTAATTACTTAAAGTTTTTTCAACAAAACTTAGTAATTAGAGCAGCAGTCAAACGGCGTTGCTCAATAGTCATCACCCTAATTAAAAAATAAAGAATGCACCGAACTTCCTACGCAATTGCTGGTACGCAAAATTGCTATTTTTCTAATTATTCTATTTTAAATTTCCTTCAAATTATCACATAGTTTCTGAAAATTAACTATTTTCTAACCTTTGCTCAGAACATATATGTAATGCAAGACTTCAAGATTTTGACGAAATTCTAAATAAATATAATAATAATAAATTCCATACTAATTCATCAAATACATTTTTTAAATACAATACTTATAAATTTATTGAAGAAATGATTCGCTTATATTTGAATTTGAAAACCTAAATATACTTACCTCTTCCGTCAACGCTAAGATTCTTTCCATGGGATGCAAACATCGGAAATGCGGGTGAAAGTTCTAACGCGACGTTGACCCCTTTACGCAACTGACCAGGAGATTTAAGATAAAAAAACAAATGCACGAATTCCAGAATAGTAACGAATAAATAAGAAATGATTCACGAGCACAAAAGGAAAGGTAAAATCTCGGCATTTACGACATAACTTTCCTACTGCTGAAACTGGGCAACAGAGAAGTTTCCATTTCAACCACTTGGCACTTACTGTTGTTTCTGCAGGACTCAATGCGTGACGATGAATATATGCAAAAGATACCAGTGATGTGAATAAAATTTTAGTATTACAGTGCTTTTTCGGACGGTGTTTCAGACGACATGATGATTTAAATTCTTATGTTGATGCAGGAAAATAAAAGCCGATAGAATACAGTGGATCTTTTTCTGCTCTGCATAATATTAGTTCGATACTATATTGGAATACAATAGAACAGTTTCCGCCTTTTTCAGCTTAGTGTTTATGTGTGAATTACAGTATGAAAGAGTTAAAAACCGGAAGTTATCATTTGTTGATTATTCTTGTGCTTGTTATTATTAACGGCTATGCAAAATGCTGTCAACTTTTTTTTTTTTTTTTTTATCGCAAGTCAGATTTTCATGGTGTTTGAAAAGCAGTTTGCATTTATACTTCGAACACCATGTTGTAGTGTCAAGAAAGTTTTATGTACATGTGTATGTGTCCTTTATCAAAATACTTCCCAAGTGCATTTGTGAAACTAAAAAATTCTCATACATATATGTTTAAATATTATATACATTTTTTGAGTTAAATGATTACCGAATGCCATCCGTACGTGCTTAATTGTTATAACATGGCTGATTCAAGCTTCAAAAATTAAACGTATCCTAATCAAACTATAGAATTCGTTTATGGCAGTTTACTATGGTTCATTTTTCGTAGCAAGGTTCTATATCGCTTTATTTTCCCATAGCAAGGTGATGTTTTCCTCAGACGAGAACACCATAACCATATTTTCTACGCAATGTCATCGTAACTACAGTTCCTTCTGAATGCTCCTTCTGAATAGACTAAAAGCATAATCTGCAAAATCGTCCATTTTAATGGTCATTTCTGGCAAAATGGCATCGATCTTTTGCAAGACATTTTTAATTCAAGGGATATTTTAAGACTAGGAAGGGAAGCCATCTGCAAAATACCGGGGTGGGGCAAACTTCATGTCAGGGGGCGCCGCATGTTAGAATTGATCTAGTATACAAGCTCCTAAAAGTTAAGCATGCATTGGAAATTAGCAGTTTTCGAAACCATATTTGAATATGTGCGGCTGAAAATCAGTACATATGGCAGTACGCAAATAATGTAAATTTAAGCCAATTACGAATGATTGCTCAAACATATGCTAATTATGCACTCGTTGAAGATTAGAGGATGTTCCTTTAAATGCTATTTGAAGTATTTTATATCTTTCCTAAGATAATTTTTTATGATATTCGTGTTTCTGTGATTGAAAGAAGAAACATGGCAGATATAGAACGCTGGTATTATAAGATATTTCGCCCGCCTTCTTAGGATGACTTTTGGTGTAATGGTCAGCACGCTCGGAGCGTATTCGAGAGGTCCGTGGTTCGAGTCACGGCGAGGGCATTGCTCATTTTTCGTCTCCCCTGCTTCGAAATAACCTAATGACTCTACAGCATGTTGTCGGACGCATTAGAAATAGGACAGTCAGTCAAATATGCCCCTCTCTCCTTTGACGTTGGTCATTCGGAAATTTCTCTAATGTGAAAATAATTCCAAACAAATCATCCGTTGTCCAGAGATATCTGTGCTCGATCGACCAAGGGTTATTTTGCTACCTTTTCTGAAGATAATATATACTATAGTAAATAAACGGAATCGACGAGCTACCTTCACAACTGTTACATCCATGGCTGCAGCGTTCACTTGGCAAAAACTATATATCTAACAATACTGTACACCGAAGGCTTCACATGAAGGGACTATATGCCAGACATGAAGGGATTGTTCACATGAAGGACTTGTATTGCATGTACAAGATTTTTTGTTCCACTAACCGAATATTCCCGAGAGCTAAGATTAAAGTGATAACGTCAACATCTCAGTTGGATTGTCTCAGATTGCCGCAAAGTCATATTCGCAGACGAGTCCAGATTTGCCAGAGAATCAAATGATAAGCTTGTAAGGGTCTGGAGAGAAGAAGACAAGGAATGAGATCCAGAACAACAGCAACATCATACATTCAGAGGGGGCAGCATCATGGTATAAGCTGGAATTTTAATGGGAAATCACATCGAGCTATACATCCTTGAAGACGGTTCTATGACGACTGCGGAGTATTGGGACGGAGTCCTACACACTATTGTGAAACTATGTTGTAGCAATAGGTATTGGTATCCTCCTTATGAATGATACTGCCGGCTGCTATTGAGTCAATATCGTTAACGATTACTTCTTTGATTTAAGCATCAGTTTGTTAAAGACCAAAATGTGACATCTTTTACAAAATGCTTGTTTTATTTCATGCACAAATATATTTGATACCTTTATAAGGAATTTGGTTTTAATCATAAGCTTTATTTTCCCATTTTTTTGTTGATCTCTAGCGTGCTTAACTTTTGGACGCCAGAGTATAATTAAGAGTGTCAACATGGTCTTTTAGCAGTCTCAACTAGATATATCTATCGGTCTAAAATTAATAAGAGAGTCTGTCGATAGAATGAAGCGTTTAAGGGACTTAATTATTTTATTTAAAATTTATTAATTAAAAGTAGCGTTAAAGGCCCTACTTTTAATTAATAAATTTTAAATAAAATAATTTTTTGCTACTTTCTTTGTTCAAGAAAATATGTTTGTAAGATATACAGATCTTATACATTTCAGTAATATACTAAGCATAATTTTTCAGATAGATAAATAATTATTTTGTTTGAATTTTTTTTCTTTCTTAAATCCTCCTCTGATTAAAATTTTCAGTTGATTTGGGTAACTGAAATCGGAAAATAATTCAAAGGTCTTTGTGACATTTACCCCAATCTTTTAGAAATATTGAAAATAAGTGTTTAGAGAGTGCTTCGGAAAAGTTGCAACACAGGTTCAAAAATTATTTTAAGCTGTGAGCTGACAACAATTTAAACGTTCTTTAATACAAACAATAATTTACTTATTTATTTTTCAAGCTGAGTTAATGCGAAAACCAAAGTTTGAAGATTGTACGTAGTCATTTAAGTTATTTATGAGCAATCTAGATCATCCGATACATTTTATCCACTGCAAGTAGCAACTGTGCTTATTCCTAATGTCACACTGTGAAATATAAGTTCTGTCCCTGGTACAGAGAGCCGCTAATATCTCTCTCTTTTCTACTGTTTCAATAGCCAAAATCGGTTCAAAAATATATATATGTTTAATAAAAATTAAGGAAATAGAAATTTTGTGTGTTTTTTTGATGACTATTTCACTCACATATTTTGAAATTGTTTTCAAGATATTATACTCACGTTGTAATTTTAAAGCTTTAATTCCCCCCACTTAAAAACTACGATATACGAAGACATGAATTTCAAACTACAATTATGATTCGATTATAAAAACCACTGCTTATTGCAAGAGGAGCCTCATTTAACAAGAAAAACTGTCACAATTTCGCTGTGGCCTGAATACAGCAAAGAATTACCTATATACCGTAAACTTAATTGCTTAAACTCTTCTTGTATGCATTTAAAAATACCTAAAGTACTACTGTTAAAACCTGAGTAAAATGGAAAAAGCATCTTTCAAACAGTGGTAACTATTGAACTTCTTGGTGTCACTTACATGCTTCTTATGAGATACATTCAAGCATAGCAACTGACATATTATTATTAAAATACCATGTGTTATCATAATTCTACTAAGATTAATAATTGCTTCTGCATGCCTTTAGCTTTCATTTCATAAACAGCTGTGACATGATGACGTCAGTCGGTGCGTTTAAGTAATTTTATTCACTCGACTTAGTGTTATTCATTTGCCTTTGTGTTACTTATTCTCTGCATTACAGCAACTACTAAATTATTTACATGAGTTTATTTTTTTACTGCACTTCTAATTTAAAAGATACTACTTATTTAGTAGAAATATGTTAAACCTATTACAGCAGTTAGTAAAACTTACTAATATTATCCGACACTAAAAAATGTTACTAATATGCAGCTAGTCAAAGAGAGAAAGAAAAATTTCATTAAATAATAAGTTATAATTACTTACGGTGGTAAAGTGCCCAAAATTTGCCCTTCGTATTTCTTCACCATTTCTAGCCCGTAAATATCAAACATTTTATAGGGATTCACGGCTACCAAAATGCTGCCCGTATACGTCTGAAAGAAAAAAAAAATAATGCCCAAGATAAATAAGAATATAAATGAAAATTTAATGTTACAGAACAGAAAATAAAATTTAATTTAATGAAAGAATTAATTAAAGTTAACATATATAGTGTACTCTTGATTATTCCGCTAATGTCAGGGAAGCAGATCATAGATAACAAATACACGAATAATCCAAACTATCAATTTTTTTATTTCCTCAAATTATTTATTTTTATTTTATTTCTGTAATTTGTTTATTTCTTTTAAAAAAATCAGTAATGCAACTTTGTTTTGGAGAACGTTTAAATATTTGTCTAAGTGCCATTCTATCATCATATTGAAATCCCCTTTGTTTGACGAAGTCAATTGAAGTTTCAACAGAAGTCATTGCGGTTTCGAGACAAATGTAATCGTTAGTATTTTCTTCGCTTGTATTTTCAGTATCATGCTTCTTCTGTTCTTATGACATTTGAAACAATACCCAAATCATTCTGCCCGGCTTAGTCAAATCCCCATCGAAGCATTCCTGGATGTTTTCCAGATCGACATTTTCGAAGAATTACGTTTTCAGTTTTTTTAACTAACAACTTCAAAATTAGATAAATATCCTATTTAGACATTACGAAGAATTTTTCTCCATTATCCAATCAGTATTATTAGTTTTACTTTCGACCAAGCTTTTGCTACACCATATATGGCATCCAATACATTCAACTTTTTCTAGACTTTCATTAACTAAACATCTTCCTCATCAAGAGTTATGAGAAGACCAGACCGGTAAAATCGTTTCAGTGATGATATTACACCTCGGCCCATCGGCTGAATTAAACTGGTAACGTCTGGTGGTAAAAATTTAGCCATCATTAGATAGTCCGTTGTTTTTAAAATGGTCTTGATGAGAAGGTATATTAAATAGTAACAACACTGCTTTCGCTGGTAACTCTTTACTTTTCAAAACATTTAATTGCAATGATCTACAGGGAGATTTTTCATTTTGTTCCCCTAAATCACGTACACTTCTTTGCTTTTCCAACTACTACTAAGAGTTTAATTTTATGCGTTCCTAATGCATCCGTGTTTGAACACCTCATGAACTGATAATCCACAAACCAGATAATTAGCACCCGGAAAATCGATAGTACACTTTATACCGTACTTGCTCACATATTTTCACACAATGTTTTTTACTAATTTTATCTTGCGGAAATGTAGAGGGGAAAATCATGCGAATAGTTTAGTTTCCGAAATACGTAGTCACAGTAAATATATAACAAAGGAAAAGTAGTCATGATACACTACCAGTGACTCTCATAATATTATTTATTTGAAAGAAGCTCCCATTCCAATAAGAATACATTGTAATATTTATATTACCAGTATCTGATAAGAAATCTTCATTTGTACTTCCTATATCATAATCTGGCCTGCTTTTATTATCCACTGCTACTCCCTAAATCTCAAATCATTTAATGAGACTGAAACTGCTGTCTGCGTAATCTGCTTCAGCTTGCAAGTCATTGCATCGTCATCGTTGTCATCGCCTTCGTCACGGCCTTTCTATGCGCAATGATCTTCAGAACTATAATGAGCATTAACTATTTTCCGCTTTCTTGAAGTTCTTCATCATAACGCTTTATCAGTCAGAACCCATGCACCCAAAATCCACTAGGAAATGAATTAGTAAGGCAAACACAAAATGAAAGAATCCATTTTAAAATTTAGGGCAGCTCGCTTTCCGAACGCATTGGCTTTTAAGTCTTCCACGAAGGCATCCCTCCCTTAAGGCAGATAGCCCTCGAGTGCTTTGCCGTAATCTAATAAACCAAACTAAACTGAACGCATTGGTTCCACTAGCGGCCGCGCGGTAAAGTCGCTGGACACTGGTAGTTCGGTCCGAGGTTCGAATGCCTCGAACGGGCTGGCTGAATGGGCGTTTTCGTGGTTTTCCCCATGTGTAACGTATATACGAGCCAGTTTCCCTTAAAACGTAATCCACAAAAGTATCCCTCAGGCAAATAGCCCTAGTGTGCTTTGCCGTAATCTCAATAAACCAAACCTTTTCGAACGCATTGAGGAACGGTGAAAATTGTGCAAATACTTAAACAAATTTCAGAAAGTTGTGTTGTAAAAAACTATGCAGACAAATATGCGAGTAAATACAGTATATATAAACTCATTTGCTACCAGTATGAGCAAAATAACAAGTATCTTTTATAAGTCTGTGAATGTAATTCAAAATTTTTATTATATTGACTACGAAGAATTATTTTCACACTTATATTTGCGATATTTTTAATTCATGTTTTATTTATTTATTTTACTTACTAAATTGTTATTAACTTTCACCAATAATTTCGTTTCTCCCTTATAAACCAATACAAGTTAATAAAATGTCAAAATAATGACCTTTGAATAAAAGTTCACGGCTAACAAAAACAAAATTTTAGCAATGGCTATATATTCTAAATCCTTTACTATGGTTAAATTATTTGTTATGACAAAATGATGGAGAATTATATAACTTAGAAGTCGATGCTTTCGCGATTTACTCTCTAAGGGAAACTGATTTATATTTATTCCCTTTACGCGTTAGAAAGGCACATGGGTAAAACCGAGAATATCCCACGCAGCCACGAATTCATTTGCTTAAAACTGAACTACTGTTGATACATTAGTTCCGAATATCTTACATGTTCGGCTACTCTGATTGACTATTAGTATAATTAAATTCGAAATTCTTTATAAAACTTATGAAACTGCTTTCTCATTTCTTTTGTTAAACAGCTCAGCATAAGAAAGATCAGAAAGGTAAAAAGTATGTATTAATTTTAACCTCTTCTCATTTATCTTAATGTAATGTATCTATTAAAAATTCAAAGATATTTGAAGACGAAATCACCGTACTAAATACCACGGATAAAACTGAGGTAATATTGGAAGAAACTTTCATGCCCAAAACGGAGAAAAAATAAGATCAATTGAAAGTTTAATTGACATGTCATTAAATAAAAAATTAACAATTGATCTATAAAATAAACGTACGTAGGTGCTCATTAGAGCAAATGTTTGGAAATGGTCAATAAATAAACGTCAAAACCTTAAAACCTGCTTCAAACAATGAGACTGAAATGAAAACCCATCAATCTCATAAATGTTTCCGCCACCACCAGGTGATAAAAAGGTAAGAGTTTCATTAATCTTTGCGCTGCTCCAAATACATGTGTATTGATTCAACCTTGAACAACTCTACTGTTCTTCAATTCTAGCTATTATCTTTTATCTGTCTAGAGCGATCTCGTTCAACTCAGTATGAGTGTCTCATGTTAGCAATAAAAGAAATCCCATTGTACGCAGCGGAAGTGCTTCTGCATTAACACTGGGTGACCAGGAATTTCCACAGTGCTTACAGCCTTACGAGGAAGCTAACCCAGCAACCAGTTCATTAGCATTCGAGGCAAATATGAAGTTAGACCTGTTCTTGCGCAAGGGATCATCCTATGTGACTGAAGATCTAAATTTATTATATTAATAGTAAGTACTCTGATACAATATTGTCACGTTAAAAACTGTCATTCATAAGATAGATAAGCTAGCCTTTCTTTTTAGATGCAAGGAATATGCATTTTAAGGAATATTACTTAAACATTTGTAGAATTTTTATCAACCATATTCTAAGAAAGTATTTTTCTTAAGCTTCCTTAAGCGGGTTATGAGGAAATACGAATATTTGTAGTACTTTTCAACATATAGTGTCGCAATATAAATGAAATTTCGGAGATTATTTTTTACAGTTGGGGGGAGGGACTTGTCTAAATTAATTAGAAAAATTTTAAGAAACACTATTCGTTCTCCAAAAATTGGCACTATTAAATTCATGATTCAAAATATTTTTAGTGATGTTTTGATAAAAATATTATTTATGCCGTTCTTTCGAAATTCACACGAACAGCAAAAGCCCTTAAAAGTACCAAAAATGTATAAAAATTAAATGAATAATAAAGTAAGCTAAAAAAGTCGCGAGGAGAGAGTTTCTTATATGACGGCTTTAAACCATTAAGCTCAATTATTATAAGCAAAGGAAGAAACTCGTTACACACCAAAGATAATCGATTATTTAAGATATCCGCTAGATACAACGCACCCTATTGCTAAAAAATTTTAATTAAGTATTTTCCCTTTATGAAATGAATTCTCTTTCTCACGGTTCATTTTCATATGATTTATACTACGCTCAAAATATTATTAATATTACTTGTAAAAATTTCATTTTATTTATATACTGCAAAAATCACCCTTTTATACACTGCTCAAAACATTTAGGCGATATTACGATTTTGGATCTAAACTGCGGATGAGGAAACGTTTTGTGCCGCCGCCCTCTATAATGTATAAGTGTTGTAAGATAGCAGGGAAAAAATAATTAAATTTTATTGAAGATATTTGTCAGCGAACAAAAAATGCACACTTTGTGCATATAACACAAACAAAATTTGTGATTTCTCGGATATAAATGAGTTTCAGTGAGGATATGGTTTTCCCTGGCCGAAAACAATGTCGCAAACCTACGAGGCATGGAATCAATGAGATTATCAATGAGGAACTGAGGTATTCTCTCCCACTCCTGTGGAACAGAGCTTTTCGACTTCTGAATTGTTTCTGGGGGTGATAAGCGACTAGCAGCCTTTCTTCATAGAATGCCCCAAACATTTTCTTTTAGGTTTCTATCTGGGGAACATACTGGCCAATACATTCGAAGGATTCCTTTGTCCCCTGGTATGAAAGAAATTGTCTACAATGTGGCCTGGCATTATCATCCATGAGAACGAATTCATCCCTGATTCTTGCAGCCTAAAGGACCACAATAGGTCTGAGGATCTCATTCCTAATACCTCTGAGTCCTGATAATGCACAGGTGGTAGCGCCATCAACAGAAATACCAGCTCAGACCATCACTCATCTTCCGCCAAACTTTCATATACAAACACAGAAGTATTCCGTGTGCCAAGTTCCGCTAAATGAGAATCAGCCTACTGTCAGGTTGAAAGCTAAAGCGGGACTCAACCGTGAAGAGCATGTTGCGGTGGTTATGGATCAACGAAACACAAACCATAGTTCTGCGAATATGCAAACTCGCATGTTGGAGCCGGTTTCGAACGGTTTGAGTCGAAACATGGTATCAGTAGCCCTCTGAAGGCGCTTTTGCTAGAAAATGGCGTTCATAGTGCGGTTTCTTATGGCCGTTAGTTTTAAATATCGATTCTCATTTGTGTTGTTGCAGGCGTACGATCTTGTCCTTCTCTTCAGCGAACATTTCCAGTTTCCGAAAAACCGATTCCAAGTCTGGTAATGGCACTTTGAGAAATTCCTAACACTTTCACTACAACGAATTGCATTTGATCCACCTCTAAACGATCGATGGCCCACGAGGTTACCGATTCAGCTATTTCTTTGTGAGAAATTGTACTCATTGTTACAGAACATTCAACGTCTGTTAATTGTTTTTGATCTCCTCCTATAGAAGGAATGCTGCAGGTAGCTTTTCATTTTTATCTAAAAAGTGTAATTTTTGAAGTCACAGACAAAATTTGCATATTCTGAACTTTGTAAAAGTGATAATTTTCCTTTTTGATCTCTTCTATTTCATTTTTGTTAAATAAGTTGTTGATTATAAAGTTATTTATTACCGAACTCGCAATATCCCCTAATTGTTTTGAGCAATGTATATGGTGAATCAAAAGCAATTAACTGTTTTAAAATTTTAACAAGTAAAATGCCATTTACATGATACTGCTACAGTGATGGTCACTATGATCAATATAGTTGTGTTGAAGAATTGATCTTTGCAATAACATTGCACTGCGGTTATGGAATTATTGATGCCAATCGGTAAAATTCACAATGGCTGGCTCTTGGATTGCAGTTCCTGTGATTGCAGTGGAACCCTTTTCATAGTGCAAATGAGATACAGTATTGTAGAAATACCCGAAACGTTTCTTTCAGATGAGTCAAGTTCTCGACACCGTGAAAAGTTTGATTGAAGTTTCAGCTGGATTGAGCAAACAGCCACGTACTTGGATGGAGCATGGCCATTCTTCGAAGGTTTCTTCCAGGACCATTGATATCGTGTTACGGAGACATAACTGGAAAGCCCGGTCGCCTCATTCAGTGTACCTGATTATTTCTTTCGGAGCAACCTAAGAAATTTTATAAAATACATTCTCGTACCGTTATAGAGTTAAAAGACTGAATCCGGAAGCATACTCTGTGAATGCTTGAGATGATGCTCTTTTATGTTGCCTTATCATTTCTACTGTTGCAATATATTCCTCTTCAAGATAAATAACCTAACCTTCCTTATTGCGTACATTCGTGAGTAACTGGAAAACACAGACGTTTAGCAAGCAGAAGGCCTCGAACTACGACAAGGGTATTATGGATTTTTTCCCTTTTTTGCTCCGAAATAAATTTTTCTGAAATTTCTGAAAATAATTTCTGCTTCCGTTCGTCGGGGTTTCAACCCAGACTGAACTACCAGTATTAAACGTTTAACCCTTCAGTCGATAATAGGCGCTGAAGCCTCGAGCAAAGATCTTTAATATTTAAATCAAGGTTCTGCTGCTTCTCCCATGAAACTTTTATTGATTAAAAATTGGCATGATCGTATTGTAGAGTTGGAGGAATATAACGAAAAGGGTTTACATATTTTTTCAAAAATTATCTCATAAATTTATATGTAAGAAATTAGGCAAAATATTGCAATTTCCTCAAATTTTGATGGAATGGGTTTATTTCAGTTTTATGTGAATAGTTTTGTCACGAAATAAAATCTTGTATGGATTATTTATTAATTGAAGGGAACAACTTTTATCTAATAATAAAAGAATTTTTAAAAAATTATTTTGTACTTGTGCACTTGTTTTTAGAATTTTAAATAAACAATTTTAGGAAACTTTTAGAGAAAAAAACCGGCATGATTTACTATTTAATTTGTATTAAACGACTTTTGATTATACAAGGTGATTACAGGCCCAGTTATCTCTGATAATCGAAGTTCTACTGCAAATATTAAAGAATGTTTATTTATAAATATTTACCTGGGAATATACAAGTAACAGAAAATATAAAAGTTTTCAGCATTTCGTAAAGTGCATAAAATGTCACTATGCGTATTCACAGGAATGCACGGGAAGACATGGATTTTTTTTAATAAGGAGAAGTTTATTGCAAAAATAATTAAATTTTTCACCAACAGGGGCGCTGTAAAAGAAAGTTTCGGAGAATTGGCATTTTTTAAGGGTCTGTGCGATGAGAAATCCTACAGATGTACATTTCCATCTGTTTCTATTACAATTGAGAGTTATGCAACACTTTTGAGAAACAGCACCCTCCTAGCAAAAGAAGCAAGTGTTTCATAATGTAATCTTAACAGCATTATGAGCCCCTTGGCAAACTAGTGTGTTGGGATCTCTACGAGAAACACCGACACAAATGAAATGTAAATGAATTAGTATGGAGCTGCGTATGTGCCCAGCAAGCCCATGCCTTAAGACGGCCTTCTCTATAATTTCTGCAGGATGGAGCGCCTCAGCGTCGGTCGTACCCAGCACCATCTAGGATCGAGATTTGACAATGGGCGTGTTCTCAGTCATGCTTGCTGCCAAGTTCTAACGACCTTAAACTTTGTGACTTTTGGTTATGAGGATACCTGAAGATCAAAGTATACAGAGGTCATGCAACGTTACAGTCCTTATTAAAAGGAGTTACTCTCCATCATACGGCAGAAATTACAACTGAAATTTTCATGGATGCTGGGCAGGGTACCGGCCGCAACTGACAGCTAGTCTCACGAATAGTCACAACTGAAGCGTCACCTGTTGGTGAAAAATGCAAGTATTCCTAAAAAAAAAAAAAAAAAAAAAAAAAAAAAAAAAAAAAAAAAAATCCTACTTCTTTCTGTGCATTTGGCTGCTGTGCATACTTTTAAAAATGATTCAATTTGTAGTTAACTTTTGCATCACCGGTATATATTTTTGAAAGCTAACGTATATCTGAAATGAATTACAACATACATAACCTCTCAAAGAAAGATATTAAAAACAGTTCTAACCTCTTTAATGCTTGCGCAAATTCAAAATTTAATAGTATATTTCATAGTTTCTATCAGATACTTTTATCGCCATGCCACTTTAGGATCAAGTTTTTATCCTGATGAAATTGATTTAATTTATGAAATACAATAAGATCATTCTAACTTAAATTAAGTAAGAATCAAAGCAACTGCCACATCATTTAAAAAAAACGATGACTCAACTACTATGAAAAATCCAAAATCTAATTATTTCAAGAAGAATAAGGAGAAATAAAGTAACTGACGCAATCAAAATGACATCACTAGTCACGTCATTACTTATAGTAATGCTGCCACACTCTGCGTGATAAATTTTTTATTCGTTTTCCCCTTCTTTTTAATCACTGAATGCCAAACGCAATTAGCAAAGAATGAAAATACAAAACTAAAAGAAAAGAATAAAGAAGAGCACGCTAACAACTGGCCGAACATCCAGATAAATAATAAGAGGCGTTAAATCAAAACACACTTATGGCGTGTACTTCCGGCTAATTGGGCCATCAAATGATAAGGGAAACGGAAATCTGTGTCTAACAACACATTTTTATCTCCTCTTCTGAAGGATAGCGGCATTTTTTATTTAAGATTTTCCAAGCATGCACGTCGCTATCAAAGTGAACGATTAAAATTTATAGATGTATAATGCTAGCGGAAATAAGGCATATTAACTTCAGGAAAAAGACTTATTCAAAACGATGACATAAATTACTTACGTATATCATTTCCTTGTCGTATCGAATTTTTAAGTTCCATAGTAGAGACGCTTCGTTTAAGTCACTGAAATAAATAAAATGAGAACAAGAGTCAAACATAAAAGCAGTTATTTAAGCAAAATAATTACAAAAAAAATGAAGGTAAATAAATTTTTAAAATAATTCTGAAAGCTTTCGGATTTTACATTACGCCCAAAGGGATGTTTTTTAACTTTTTGTGTGTCATCTTTATTTATTAAAAAGCATTTTCTTCGTACTTAAACCATAAATTCAATTCAACAGCAACATCACAAAATAATTTTAAAATAAGCATATCTTTAGAATTTCTGATACAGTCTCGCGCCCTGGTGAAGAGGAAGCCCATATTTGGTGGAAGATTACGTTATTCACAATTTGATGGCTCCTCAATGCTTCTCGCATTGTGTTATCACAATGCGAGAATCATACATACATTTGTGCAGATGCTTCATTATTTAATTTTCTTTAAATATAACACAGGGCGGAAACATTGGGTGGCAACAATTTGAAAAGTGAAACTACATTTAAAGTTTTCAACGTAAAATGCCAAAACGAAATTAATAGCCCTTCTGGGTTAACGGCCTTTGGGCAAAAAATAATTTTGAGTAAACCTTATACAGTTACTTATTATTTAATCAACATCAAATCATATTTATTAGATGTTAATTAATGAATTATTTACAGCAGGGATCGCAACGCAGTGCGTGGAGCAAGGTAAAGTGTCAGCTGTTTAAATACCTGAAGATATTTGGACAACAGTCAGTCGTAAATGTAATGAATAATCTTAGTAAAAAATTCTTATTTTATCTTCGCTATTTTAACAGTTAGTTAAACTTTGTTGTTAATAATTTTTAACTATTAGTTCAACTTTTGACAAAAACTGAATCTTAATGGCTCTTAGTGACAATACAAGAATAAATAAATTAATTTTCGACTGTTAAAAACATCTGATTTTGCATATAATGAATTATTTTCTGCATGCAGTGAACTATGACATCGTTTTTAAATCTCTTTATAAAAACTATATTACTAAATTTCTAAGTTTTAAAAAGTTTATTTTATATCAAATGCGCAACGTTCTGAAATGAATTAAAAAGGTACTAATAAATTAAAATCAATTATTAAACTTACATAAGTTCGATCATGTCTTCAAATCCATTTGGGCCCAAATCTTGTCTCTTTCTTACGCTTTCCAAATTGTGAAGTGTAAAATTTTGCGGCTGAAATGGAAGAAAAAATCCAGTTTAGTTTTAGAAGATTACTAATTGATAAGCTAATCTCAGGTTTAAGAACAGAATTTACATAACATTATAACATTCTTTAAAACAAAACACTGTAATGTCTAAAAAGAGAGTAGGGAAATTTTTAGTGGAATGTTCATACATCAGTTCACATAATTCGAATGAAGCACATAATTCGAATGAAGCAGAACTATGAAAAAAATGAAGAAAGGGGTTAAAAATATACGATAATAGTTGTATCTATTCGAAACTAAATACAAATACGCGAAAGAGCTAAGCCAAACATTTTATTACCTTTAAAAAAAATAATTTTCAGTGAACAGCTTGTTACTATATACAATGAAGCTCAATCAAAACACTTATATGAAAAAGTAAAATACACACACACATACCAGGGAAAAAATGAAGCTCAGTCAAAACAGTTATATAAAAAAGTAAAATGCACACACACATACCAGGGGAAAAAAAAAATCCCGCTGGAGAGAGAAAAAATGCAGTTCTATAGATTCATCTTCTCGAGTGCACCGCAGTGTGGCAGTAAAGCTGTCTATCAAAAATTAACCTTTAGCTAAGATTTTTGAATAACATTAAATGATATCTATGTATTTTATAGAGGAGAATCGTGGAAATATGTAACCAAAATTTTGTAAAAAATCGATGTGAGAATTTTTTAGACATTTGTCTATTTTTAAAATGTATATTTTTAAAGAGACATACACTAGCGTAAATATAAAAAGCGGTTACAATGACAGACTGACACATTTTTAAGAAGAGTAGATTTCCAAAAAATTAAATTTAACGATAATTTCTGGTCTGGGTGGAAAACAAAAATCTGGCCTTTAAAAAAAAGGACACCTGGGTTAGATTTTTATGAAATGGTTAGATCTTCCCTCTGAAAATAACACCAGTTTTTTCTAATTTAAGGATAAAATTTGACTAACTTAAAGTTTGATTGGTTGATGAATAATGTTTAAATTCCCGATGTGCTGCATGCTTACAGCTTCACGCAACTGAAAATGTGATATTGTCCAATGTTGTCCCTATCGGACAACATTCGAATTGGCCTTCGTTCGGTTATTGCACGGAGTTTAGCTGCCACCCTCGTAGGAAGAATCTAGAGCTATGATATCCTATAAATAACACGAGTTCTGTGGATTTGACAGCACACAGCATGGCAGCAGGTTATTATAATTATTAAGACATAACTGATAAAAATCATAGGCAAAATGGAAAAATATACATAAAGATAATATGGAATAGCAATATGTGTCAAAACAGTCGCTATACATATATATTTTATATAACGATGTGGAGGTAAACGAAAGATCTTCTGTCTCATAAAATTTCTTATATCAATCATAACTGATAGAAAGAAGATACGGAAGGAAAACAGAAACGTGAAAATATATGTACATTATGCAAAAAGGAAATGAACATATACGGAGCTATCTATATATATATATAGAGAGAGAGAGAGAGAATTGAATACGAGTTCGATTGAATGAGTGAAACGCTGAGCATAGAAGAGGTGTTTGCCGCTGTGTTGCTATAAACGTAGGAAAATTAACATCATAGACTTATTTGGAGCAGCCTGCATACGACGACTTCATATGGCTGATTAAGCAGAAGTAAAGTATAATATGATTGAGCCAATTTTATTATGCGTAATTCTGTGACTATTGCTACTGTGACTATTGCTACTGTGACTTCTGCTATTGTGACTATGACGGGTTGACCAGAATCGAGAGGACAATTTTTGTTTCACTAAGTCCGGCTAAATAAGCCATATGCTAAGCAGTTCGTGGAAGCCGGTTTTTTAAGGTGGAATTTCTCTTCTCTACTAACAAATGAGCCTATATGGAAAATAAAGATTTTAACAGTCACTCAGAATCGTGTACAGCGTGCGGAGATTTTTATCCGTGTCTTGAAAACTGAGACTAAACGGTTTGTTTCAGTTACAAAATTCTAATTGTTAGAAAAATTTAAAGAAACATACCTCCCCGTACCTTATGGATTTCGAATTAAAAGCGAATTTGTAAAAGATTTAAGAATATGTTCTTTAAAATTTGTTCAAAGAGTTTCAAAAGTTACAAATATAAACATTAAAAAATAAAATAAAATAAAAATCTGAAAGATTTCTTCAGATCGGTGGCCCAAAATAGTTTGTTAAACTTTTTTAACAAACTATTTTGGGCTTTCGCTGACCTTACAGTCTACAAGTCTGCTATTACACTTACTCCTACTAACACATTTTTTTTTTTTTTTTTTTTTTTTAGCTTTATTATTAGGCATCATTTGCTTCACAATTCAACAACAAAACTGCAAAAATTTTTAAAGCGGTATACGTTTAGAATTCTCGTTGCTGCGTTAAGTATTTACATACATTTTCATGTTTTTTTCTTCAATCTTTTCTCAGTTCATCATATCAATGTTCACTTTTCTTACTAAGATGGCTTTACAATTTTTTTTTTTGTCTTTTTATTATTAATGTTTTGCGTGTTTACTACCTTCTTTATAAATATCATGCTTATGCCACATGAAATTCGATTCAACAGAACTCTAGGAGGAAGAGGCATCCAGACCTGGCAAGCTCGAGTCTCCCTTAACAGAGATAAGCCGCAACCCCTAGAGCGATCCAAGGAGGCAAAACTCCTCGGTCAAATCGGGGAGGGACAATTTTTGTTTCACCAAGTCTGGGTAAATAAGTCACAAAGTCTATGGTGGACAGCAGTGCATCCACCAAGAAAGCATAGACCTTCAAAAAAATTAACAAAAATTTTTTGAACGCATAGTTAGGCAAAAATTCCACCTCAGATAGATTTTAATTTTATAGAAAAACTATTCATTTCGAAGAAGGTACAGGATGGCTCTTCTTAAACACCAAAAATAGTCTGCATATTGAAGACCGGCGCATTTTTCTTCCAAGTAAAATTTCAGAATATTGCAATATTTTATTTTCTATAAGCAGTGAGAATTGCAATATTAAAGTAAAACATTAATAGATATAAATTCACATTTGCTTTGATAATATTATGCGACGAACCACAATCTAACAACCCGAAACTGAATTACATTTACATTACTGCAGAATCTTCTGAGATAAATTTAAGAGGATTAACATTCCCCGGTAATTTCAACAAAAGTTTTCAAAACAAAAGGCAACATATTTTATAATTTAGGATCAACATTTTACATAAAAAGTACTCATAGAAAAAGCAGACATCATACAGAGATCGAATGATACATAAATTTAAGAAAAGGAAAGTATCGTACGGAGGTACACAGATTTTAAAAACATTATCACAAATTGGCATCATCAAATTTCTGGTCAAAATACTTCGCTGGCAATATATCCATATCAAAATATTCAAAGCTACTAAAATTTTGCTACTCTACGGAAAGCACTCCAACAAATGTCTGAAAGATTAATCCATTTTACGACTTCCTTCACTGCTGAGATGAAAATAAATGGTCTTTGGGATATGTTCTAATTGATATAAATGAACTAAAAAGAACATTACTCGGTCTTTAGGTAGCAATTTTATGCATGAAACAGATCATTATTTTTCTTCAATTTTGTTCAAATCTAGAGACTTTCAAATAAATGGTTTTTTGACGAATAATTCAGATATGATCAGTTAAGCTACCTCAAGGATAAATCGTTTGTTTCGGGTTATCATCCTTCGTAAGAGCGAAGGAAGAATCTGCGTTTAATAAAACAGATTTCAGTTCATCTTTATTAGAAGAATCATTCTAGCTTAGTTCTATGCTGAACACTCAGAAAGATATAAACCAATTGTGATTTACTAAATGACAACTGATTTAAAAGCGATTCTATCCCTCTGAATTTTCGCGATTTGGGGGAAAAATTATGATTTGTCTAACATCGCTTATCTAAAAAACAAATCGCTTGATACGTATTTAATCAATAATATACTTTTAAAGCAGCCATTTTCTTTTTCAACCTTTTAAACCGTTCACTTAAATAGATTCTTGTCATGTTGACTTAATTTAGTAAAAGAAATTGTCAGTCGATTGTTTTAATGTAACAAAACTGAGAGTAATGCAAATAACCAGTTTTATTTTGGAAGAATCGTTTCAAACAGTTCAGAAATCTTCACAAAAGCGCAACAAAGAATATAAACGCAAGAATGTTGCTTAGATTTCAAAATAGAGTTTGATAAGATTTATTTAACGCATGGACCTAATTGTGCAAATGAATCTTCAATTTCTTTGCTTCAATCTTACAGAAAAATATTTTTTAAATGGAGCACTGTATATGAAAATTCATAACATCCTTTTTGTTGGGTAAACTATCGTGGCTGCAGTGTTTCGAAAGCCCGATGTCGCATATATTGGTAAGTAACTAGGGGTACAACCCGTATATCTGATTATGTAAATAAATGATAATGCTATCCCTTCAACTGATATGGCGTTACATACGCAAATGATTCTGCATATTTTTCAAAATCATAAGACCTAGAACGAAGACTTGCAGGAAAAAGACATCTTATGTTCATCGTTGTATTGGAAATGGATCTTCCGTATCAATACTAAAAAACACTCTATACTACAGAAAACACTGCCTCACTATCAATGATCCTATCACTTTGTTTTAACCAAGCTCATACAGCAATTACACGGTTGGCTATTAAAATTGCAGCACTATAAATGAAAGGATGTACATAAGTAGCATAGCATGAAAACAAAATGATTAAATTTGTAAGCAGTTTTGGGGTTCACAGAATTGCGAAATCAACAGAAACAGCTACCACCCCATCAGCTACCAAACGCCATGTTCCAATAAAATAATGCAAGACGTGTTGCACGTCGTGTTCTGACTTTCCTATTCGATTGCTGATGTCCCTTCACGCACGGTCTCCAGTTCTATCATCCACTGAAAACATCTAAAGCAGACGACTGCAGTCTCCTCGAACCCTCCAGACATGTATACGGCCATCATAATACTGCACGTAGAA